AAGTAGAGGAGGGAAATGGAATAAGAATATCTGAGTGTGGGGGTGGGGAGGGTTGCATTTTACAACAGGATAGTCAGGGCAGGCCCTTCAGTAAGATACATCTGAATACAGACTTGGAAGGGGTAAGAAAGCGAACCAGGCATTATCTGAAGAAGTGTCCCTAGACAGAGCCAACACCCAAAGAAAAAGCCTCTATGTGGATCCAAGACGACAGCAGAATAGGTGGAAGTTACACACACCTCCTCCTCCTAGGACCAAATCGGAATTACAACTGAATTATAGAACAATGGAACTGAATAACCAACTGAAGGCCGGCTGAGCGGAAGTCGGAAGTCGTATAGCTAAGGGTATACAGAAGAAGCCACGCAGAGACCAGTGGGAAGGATGGAGACATGAAAGAGCTGGCCCTGAACCCACGTTTGGCGGTGGAGAATCCAGAGGGATAGCTCAGCTGCAAAGGTCCCCCCCAGGATCAAGGGGTCTCAACCCCACGCCAGGCTCTCCAGCCCAGAGCACCAGTACCAGGAAGAGGGGTACACTTAACACCTGGCAGTGCAAATCCACAGAGGTTCCATCTTGTAGACATAAGCTATCTACAAGAGACCCACTTTAGGTTGAAAGACACACAGAGACTGAAAATAAAAGAATGAGAAAAGATATTTCATGCAAATAGAAACAAGCAAACAAAAAAGCTGGGGTAGCAATCCTTACATCAGACAAAATAGGTCAGCAGTAGACATGCACAGGGAATTTTAACACCCCACTGACATGACAGATGCATCTTCCAGACAGAAAATCAACACAGAAACAGCAGCTTAAACTGACACACTAGACCAGATGGATATAACTGATATTTTCAGAGCATTTCACCCCAAACCAGCAGAGTATAGAGTCTTTTCCAGTGCGCTTGGGACATTTTCCAGGATAGACCCCATGTTAGGACACAAAACGAGTTTTAATAAATTTAAGAATACTGAAATCATATCGAGCATCTTGCCCAACCAAAACAGTATGAAAGTAGAAATCAGTTATAAGAAAAAAAATGGAAAATACACAAATACATGGAGGCCAAATAACATGTTACTAAACAATGACTGGGTTAAGAATAAGATCAAGGAAGAAATCAAAAGAAACCTTGAGACAAATGAAACTGAAAGCACAACAACCCAAAATCGATGGGACACAGTGGGAGCAGCCCTAAGGGGGAAATCCATAGCACTGCAGTGCTGCCTCAGGAAGCAAGGGAAACCCTAAATAAACAATCTGATCTTACACCTAAAGGAACTAGAAAAAGACAAAAAACAAAAAAAGCCCTAAGTTAGTAGAAGAAAAAATAATAAAGAACAAAGCATAAATAAACAAAATAGAATTTAAAAAATCATTACAGAAGATCAATGAAACCAAGGGCTGGTTCTTTGAAAAGATAAGCAAGGCTGATACACCTTTAACCAGATTCATCAAGGAAAAAAAGAGAGAAGACTCATATATTCAATAAATAAAATGAGAAAGAGAAGTGACAACCAACATCACAGAAATATAAAAGGATTATTAAAAATATTATGAGCAACTATATGCCAACAAGTTGGAAAATCTGGGATGTTGGAAGATTTTATGCTCTGAAAACTAAAAAAAACACTGTTGAAAAAATTAAAGAAGACTTAAATGAATGGAAAAACATCCCATGTCCAAGGGTCATAGGGCACTAGCTCCCAAATTAATCTACAAATTCAATGCAACCCCTATCAGAATATCACCTGACTTTTTTTGCAGGAAGGTGATCTTAAAATTCATATGAAAAAAGCAAAGGACTCAGAAGAGCAAAACAATCTTGAAAAAGAAGAACAAAGCTGGAAGATTCACACTTCCCAACTTCATAACTTACTACAAAGTAGTCATCAAGACAGATTTTACTGGAAAAAGGATAAACATAAAGATTAATGAAGAGGAACTGAGAGTTCAAAATAAACCCCTACACTGATGGCCCACTGATTTTCAACAAGAGTGGCACATCAATTCAATGAGGCAAATAATAGTTTTTTAAACAAATGGTACTGGGACACTGAATATTCTCTTGTAAAACAATGAAGTTGGACTCTTAATAACACATCACCCAAAATCTCAAAATAGATCAGAGACCTAAATGTAAGAGTTAAAAGTATAAAACCCTTAGAAGAACACACAAGAGTAAATCTTTGTGACCTTGGATTAGGTAATTGTTCAAGCAACAAAAGAATAAGTAGATGAATTAGACTTTATCAAAATTAAAAGAAACTATCAAGAAAGGGACAATTCCCAGAACAAAAAATATTTGCAAATTACATGCCTGAGAAAAGACCTGTATGTAGAATACATTACCAACTCTTGTAACTCAATAATCAAAGGATAAATAACCCAAATACAAAATGGGCAAAAGATACGAAGAGACAGTTCTCCAAAAGAAGATACACAAGAGGCCAATAAGCACATGAAAAGGTGCTCAACATCATTAGCCATCAGGAAGATGCAAATTAAAACCACAATAAGATACTACTACTTCACACACAGTAGGATGGCTATAATCCAAGAGACAAATAATAACAAGTGTTGGAGGATGTGAAGAATCCTGAACTCTCATACAGCTTTGGTGGGAATGTAAAATCGTATGGCCACTTTGGAAAAATTCTTTGTTCCTCAAAAGGTTCAACATAGAGATGCCACATGACCCAGTAAATCCACTCTTAGGTATACCCAAGAGAAATGAAAACAGATGCCCATAGAAAAACTCATAAACAAATGGTCATAGCAGCATTATTTATAGTAGCCAAGAAGTAGACATAGCCCAAATGTTCAACCAATGAATGGGTAACTATCAATAAAATGTGGTTTTATTTCATAGAGTGGAATATTGTTTGGCAATAAAAAGCAATAAAACATTGGCACATGCTACAACACAGATAAATCCCAAAAACATTATATTAAATGAAAGACTCCAATCACTATCACTAGAGACCATATATTGTATAAAAAACAATATACACTTTAAGATGGAAGAGATGACATCTCCGAACTGACTTGCATGTCTTACTCCTCAAAGCTTTTGAACATCAAAACTGGGCAAAATAACCTTTGGACTGGGCCTAAAGCAGCTCTGTATTCCAGACAACTGTTTGTTTGTTATGACTACTGAAGTGAAAATTAAAAACATTCTTTAGAATTACCATCACTATGTTAGCTTATCAGCACCTATAGAAATTCATTCCTTAGCTCGTTAACCACCCATAGAAATTCTTTCCTTATTAACGTAATGATTCCCCTTCCCTTTACCTCCCAATCAACACACTATGTGGGTTTCTGCCTGCATCAGGGCTTCCAGAATAACTATTCTTTTGGATCTTGAATAGATACTTGTTGCTGCTCATTTTGTTCCATTTATATGAAAAACCCAGAATAGGCAAATCTATAAAAACAGAAAGTTGGCTGGTGATTGCCCAGGGCTGAGGGGAGAGGGAAAGGGAAGCAACTGCTAATGGGTTTGGGGTTTTTCTTTTTAAAATTTAAAATTTTTAATTGGAGCAAGAAAACAAATACTACATAACCTAAAATTTAGCGTTGCAACCATTTTAAGCGTTCAGTCCAGCAGTGTTCAGTACATTCACATTGTTGAGCAACAGATCTCCAGAAATTCTTAATCTTGCAAAACTGAAACTCTATCCATTAAACAACTTCCCATTTCCCCTCTCCCTCCAGCCCCTGGGTGTGACCATTCTGCCTTCTGTCTCTACGAATTGTAGTACTCCAGGTTCCCCATAACAGTGTAATCATACGGTGTTTGTCTTTTTGTGTCTGGCTCACTTCACTGAGTAATAGATTATGGCACCTTAAAGCTCATCCGTATTCTAGCATGTGACAGGATTTCTTTCCTTTTTAAGGCTGAATAACGTCAATATTCTATTTTATGTATACACCACATTCTGTTTATCCATTCTTCTGTAGATGGACATTTGGGTTGTTTCTACCTCGTGGCTATTTTGAATTTGGGCTGCATTGAACATGAGTGTGAAAATATCCCTTCAAAATTCTGCTTTCAATTCTTTTGGATACAGACCCAGAAGTGGGATTGCAGGGTCATGAAGGCATCTCTTTAGAGTGACACAAGTTCTAAAATTTGATAGTGGTAATAGCTGCAACAACCCTAGAATATACTAAAAACCATTGAATCATACACTTGAAAAGGGTGAATCATATGGTATATGAATTATATCTCAATAAAGCTGTTAAAAGAAGACAACTTTAAAGGCTGAATCAAAGATAAATCTACTTAAGGATTTTGATCAGCCTGAACAAGGAACCTGGTTAAATAACCAATCAATCTTGTCATTCAGATAATTTTGACTCTTATTTTCAATGACCTGGCTAGACGTTTAAGTATTCTTCCAAACATAAGCTAAGTGCTTCTTCAACACTGATCATTAGGGAAAGCATCAGAAAGAAACTGCCAGTATGTTTTTAACTCACAACATTAAATCTTTTCATATTTTGTGTCAGAAAGTCCTTGGAAGAAATAACAAATTCATACTGACTATAGCAATTTTTATTTCATCTGCTCCACAGGTATGCCATTCACCAAATTTTTAAAAGGCAGGGAACTAAGGCAGGATTTTACTTACTTTAACTTCAGATTCACTTTTTGAAATGTCACAATTATTTCATATAGAAGAGATTCAAAAGACAGAGGGTTTGTTTTCCTTTTTTTGGCAAAAAAAAAAAAATTAAAAAAACTTATGTCTACTGTCACTGAATGAGGAAAAGAGGCAATAAGTTAAAAAAAATAGGAGAGATTTTGAGAAAAAATGTGCATCAAATTCAAATTCTTCTCACTTCTAACTGTTAAGACAAACTAGAGAAGCGAACAGCAGTCCAGATAGCCACTGACGCTCAGAAACTCACTCACCGTCTTCTTTTCTGCTTCATCCAGACACTTTCAAGTTTGTCAAGACTCAAAGGTACAGTTTCAGAAAGACAATAAATGAGATAATCTCAAAGATTTTTCATGATCTCTTCTGACCAGAGCAGAGCAAAGTAAGGGAAACCTTCCTGATCTGACTGATCACTTTTAAGACAATAGACTCCGTATGTTTCACAGCAAAGAGACAAGGTTGGAGGTCAACTCTCCATCATGGTCCCACAGTGGAGAATGACACAGTGGTTCGATCCAATTACAGAGCGAGGCCTGTTACGTGGGACAGTCTTCCCAGATGATGCATTTTATACACTTTCACAGCTTTTCCTAAATAATCTCTCAGAGTTGATTTTAAGTAAGGGCTCAAATATCAGCAGTTGATTTCAGACTCTTATTACACATTTTTCAAAGTCCGTCTGTGTGCAGAAGCAAAATTATGAATGGCGACCCGAAGAGCTGAGTTCCCCTCAGGGATATCACAGGAGTTGATGACTGAATGTAGTGCCCGGGTATATGCTGCAAATAAAGGTTTGCACAGTGATGAATGAAGTCACATTCTAAACAGCCCTTCTAGGTTCCTTCCTATTAGTACTACTTCTCTACCCAGGCCCACAGGTGTGAACTGTAGCTACCCATTGAATAAATATTTATTGAGTGCTTACTACATGGCAAGCGCTCCATGAGGACAGAAAGGATAATGGAGAGGATGGACAAAAATAATGGTGGTGCAACACTCCCAAGAGACATATGCAAAACGTAATCACATAATGAAGTTCGGAATAAATAAAAACTATCTAAGAGAGGACGGAAAAGATTTCCAAAGTGGACATTTCAGATGGTCTTGAAGTTTTAATAAGAGTAAAGGAAAGTGATATCAATGTGTGAGGTGCCAAAGGTATTAAAAAAAAAAATGTGACATGTACTGGTGTGTGACAAGGGCGAGTTTGGGGCCAGGCAGAAAACATGCCAGATATGCCATGCATGTTGCACCGTGAAAACCTAGAGGTTTGAGAACGGGGGAATGGCATCAGATCTGTGTTTTTAAAATATAGTTCACACAGATGGGGTGCCAGGAATACAAACACTGGCAGTATTTTCAGTGTGTGCATCACGCCTACACAATCTCTGCACTATATAAACCAATATATTTAAGGATAAACAGGACACAGAAACACTTGGGGACACTAGGAAGGACTCCATTCTATCTGGGATTCCTGATAAAGACAGAGTTTATACTGGTCCTCATTTTCCTCAGTGCCTCCCGGCAGAACCGGCAGTCTAATGTGGATATAAATGGTAATACGCCGGTGTGAGATAATATTCAAGTATTTGAATAATAGCGAATTCAACTGGACGGAATTCTCACTTAATGGCCAAAAAAGGCAAGCTCTAATATCCCCCATTTACAGGAGAACCTGCAACTCAAGCCTTCCTGCTGTGGAGAAAGCCGGAAATATTTCCCAGCGCAAATAGAAGACAGTAGCAGATCTCAAAGAGAACTATAACTCATTAGAACCAAGCCTCATGGTTGTTTTGTAAAGGGGTTATAACAGTCTCTGACATATAGTAAGCACTCAATAAATGCAAAATTACTACAATCACTACTTTTTAAAAAATTGCTACCAGGCCCCAACCATGCCTTCAAGAAACTTACCTCTGTGATTTTTATAGAAAATACAATTGTTGGCACAGGTATCAGGGTGAGCATCCCAAAAGTCAGGACCACAGCAGCACAGCGGAGGTAAGGTGATATTATACAGCCGCATTTTCTCTTGGATCTGGGCCCTTAAGGCTTCTACATATCTATAGAAATACAGTATGGTCAGTGACCCACTAGAAAGAGAATCAGCACAGACCCTTATTTTACTACCAGCTGTGACTGTTAAAACTACTCCACACCTCTGTGCCCCGACTGTTCCTCTCTGTACTGGGGAATGGCACCAGAAATATGTAGTGCTATTCCCAAGAGGTATCTGGTAAAGTTCTATACCCCCGTAAGTATGAGAAGTCAGAGTCAACTCTTGTAAGGAAAAGGACACTGACTTCCTGCAGTTCTTCTAGATCTGGAACTTCGTGTGCAACGTGTCAGAGTACCTTTGGTATTCCTTTTCCTTTTGTTGCTGTTTTTGTCTGGCTCCTTCTGCTTCCTCAAGCTGTAGCTGGGCTAACATCTCGCTCATCTTGTCCCCCGAACATGGTTCTTCAGGCAAGTTCATTCTTAGTATCCTCTGCTCTTCTGCATAACGTTGCTGCTCTTTCTTTTTCTTAATTCTGAGGATAAAATCATAATATGGTTAGGAATTTTATAAAATCATTATTTAGAATTTGCTTCTAAGTCTGAATAATTCAAGAACTAAGGGAGTCAGAAAGTCAGTTTAATACACCTAAAATGGCTCCCAAACTCCTGCTGGCTGACTTGAGTTTATCCTGGAGCTCATGGGTGTTTGAATATACACACCCACATACACATATTGCCTCCCAAATGGGAATGACCAATGGTAACTATCAAGGGTTTTTCTGTAAGAATCCAAGTACAAGAGCTTTCTCAGATTAAAATTACAAGTAGACAGAACTTTCATTTTTGGCAAAAATATGGAGTAACAGAAACTAGACTTGCCCTCCCACCCTAAACAATCAAATAAATACACCAACCAACTAACCAACTAATCAACCAGACAAAGCACAAAAAACAATGGTTTTTAAAATTCTACGCATCAGGCACTGAAAGACAATGGTCCTCGAGAGGTGGCAGACAAATGAGGTGGCCCTGGAGCTGCCCAAGCTTGCAGACTTGAAAGCTTCCAGGCAGCAGCACAGGGCAGGGCAGCTGAGGTGGTGCCTAGCAGATTCCTTGGGCTGAGGAGATGAAGCTGGAAGTCCAGGAATACAAAGGCAACTAGAGTTAATAAGACAGAATACCAGAGAGGAGACAGCTGCTCAGAGAGAGGGCTCCAGAGATCTCCAGAGGGTTTTCTTCTGACACACAGCAGAGTACCTGCATGGATGTGAGGAAAGGTGGGAGATGAGCCACCTAAAAGGGTAACAGAACAGCCGTAGGGATGTAAAGTACAGTACGGGAAGCGGAGTAGCCGAAGAACTTCTACACATGACCCATGGACATGAACAAAGGCAGGGGGTTTGCCTAAGGAAGTGGGGACTGCTGGGGGGTAAAGGGGAAAAAATCAGGACAACTGTAACAGCATGATCAAAAAAATATAATTTAAAAGAAAAAAAAATAAATGGGTAACAGGGAACAGTGCCTTGTGCTCACACACAGTAGGGGATAGCGCCTGTTCCACCAGTCAGACTTGGAAAACTCATAATGCACAGGCACTGGGCTGTTCAGGAAGATCTGCCTCAGTCATGGTGAATAATAATCAGTCCTAGACTGAGCACTGCTCCAGACACACTTAACAAACTGTAAAAGCAAAGCCTCTAAGTAACTTAAATGCATCCAAAAACAAAGCTCAAGAAAATCTGTAAGAATACAAAGATAGCCAGCAACCCAACAAGGTAAAATTCACAATGCTGGTTATCTAATAAAAGATTATCAAAGAGGAAGGAAATCATAACTCATAATGAAGAGACTAACCAATCAAAACCAATATAGAACTGACAGTTATTAGAATTAGCACGTAAGAACATAAAAGCAGTTATCACAACTGTATTCTGTATATTCAAAAGATATAAAAAGACTGAAATCAAACTTCTCAAGAAAATGACAGCTTCTGAGATGAAAAATACACTAAAAAATAGGTCTATATTTATTAAAGGAGTGGAATCAATAATTAACCTCCCAAAACAGGAAGCATCAGGCCTAGATGGGTTTACCGGTAAATTCTACCAAACAATTGAGGAAAAAATTATTCCATTTCTCTATAATGTCTTTCAGAGAAAGGAATACTTCTTAATTCATTCTAATACCAAAACCAGACAAAGATATTACAAGAAAACTACAGGCCAACATTTCTTATGAACAGAGAGGCAAAAATCCTCAAAAATATTAGCAAATCAAACCCAACAATATATAAAAAGAATTATCTACCACGACCAACTGGGATTTATCCCAGGAATGCAAGTCATGTTCAACATGAAAAAATCAATTAAACTATCACATCAACAGCCCACATAAAAAAAAAGAAATAACATGATTCTACAGATGTAGAAAAAACATCTGACAAAATCCAACACCGTTTACGATAAAACTTAGTAAACTAGGAATAGAGGGGAACTTTCCAAACTTGATAAAGAATATTTACTAAAACAACCCTACAGCTAACATTGTACTCAAAGGTGAGAAATAGGACACTTTCCCACCACTAAGATCTGCAACAAGGCAAGGATGGCCCTTCTCACCTCTCCATTTCAACATGATTCGAGAAGTCCTAGCTAATGCAATTAGCAAGAAAATGAAAACATAAAACTATCTTTGTTCACAGATGACATAATCATCTAGTTCTTCCCAAGCTGATCTACAGATTCAAAGCAAACCCAATAAAAATCCCAGTCAGTTATTTTGTAAATATTGACAAATTGATTTTAAAGTTTATATGGAGAGGCAAAAATCCCAGAATACTAATATGATATTAAAGGAGAGGAACAAAGTTGGAGGACAAATACTACTCAACTTCAAGACTTACTATAAAGTTACGGTAATCAAAACATTGTTGTATTGGTGAAAAAACAGACAAATAGAAAAATGGGACAGAACACAGAGAACAGAAATACACCCTCATAAATATAATCAATTGATCTTTGACAAAGGCATAAAGACAATACAATGGGGCAACATAGTCTTTTTAACACATGGTATGGGGACAACTGAATATCCATGTGCAAAAAAATGAACCTAGACGCAGACCTTACACCCCTCACAATAACTAACTGAAAATGGATCACAGAGCTCAATGTAAAACACATGAGTTATCTCCTAGAAGATAACTTAAGAGGAAACCTAGATGATCTCAGCTACGGCGATGACTTTTTAGATATAACACCAAAAGGCATGATCCATAAAAGAAGGACGATGAGCTGTACTCCACTCAAATCAGAAACTTAAGTTCTGCAAAAGATGCTTTCAAAAGAATGAGAACATAAGCCATAGACTGAGAGAAAATATTTGCAAAAAAACACATCTGATAAAGGACAATGATCCAAAATATACAAAGAGAAGAGCCCTAAAACTAAACAATTCAAAAACAGACAACCTAATTCAAAAATGGGCCAAAGACCTGGACAGACACCTCGGCAAAGAAAATACACAGATGGCAAATAAGTAATCACTGCACACCTATTAGAATTGCTAAAATTTGGAACACGGACAATACCAAATACTGGCGAGGATGTGGAGGACCAGGGACTCTCATTCATTGCTGGTAAAAATGCAAAAACGGTACAGCCACTTTATTAAACATACTCTCATTTACCCTATGATCCAGCGATGATGCTGCTTGGTTTACCCAAAGGGTTGAAAACACATTCACACAAAGCCTGCACAAAGATGTTTACAGCAGCTTCATTTATAATTGCCAAATCATGAAATCAACCAAGATTGCCCTTAGCAGGTGAATGGATAAATAAACTGTGATACATCCAGACAATGGAATATTACTCAGTGCTATAAAATAATGAGCTATCAAGCCACGAAAAAACACAGAGAAACTTAAATGCATATTACGAAGTGAACAAGCCAATCTGAAAAGGCTACATACTGTATGATTGTAACTATATGACAATCTGGAAATGGCAAAATAATGAAAACAGTGAAAAAAATCAGTAGTTGCCAGAAGTTGGGAGAGGGGAAGGCAGGGAGGGATGAGTAGGCAGAGCGCAGAGGAAGACTTTGAGGGCAGGAAAACTACTCAGCATGATACCAGAATGACGGATACATGTCATTATACATTTGTCCAAACCCATGAATGTACAATACCAAGAGTAAACTATAATGTAAACTAATGTAAACTATAAACTGTGGGTGGTAACGATGTGTCAGTGCAGGCGCACCGCTGCACCAGATGCACCACACTGGTGGAAACGCTGGGACCGGAGGAGGCTCTTCATGTAGGTCAGGGAGTGAGTACATGGGAAGCTGCTGTACCTTCCTCCCAATTTTGCTGTGCGCCTAAACCTGCTGTGTAAAAGTAAAGTATAAACAAATACAGTAGATGTGATTACCAGCAGATTAAATGTTGCAGAACTAAATCCAAAAGCTTAACGACAGAAATTATCAAAATAAACAACAGAAAAAATAATCTAAAAAGATAAAGTGAACACAAAAAAAGGAAATAATCCAAATACAAAATGGGTAAAAGACTTGAATAGACATTTCTCCAAATGATCCATCAATGTCCAAAACACATATGAAAAGATGCTTAACATCACTAATCATTAAAATAATGCAAACCAAAACTCAATGAGATATCACCTCACACTCATTTGGGTGGCTACTGTAAACAACAACAACAACAACAACAAAAACCCCCCAGAAAATAACGAGAATTGGCGAGGATGTGAAAAATTGCAATCTCGTGCACTGTTGGTTGGATTGTAAAAAACTGCAACGGCTATGGAAAAAAATATGGAAGTTCCTCAGAAAAATTAAAAATAGAACTACCATATGATCTAGCAATCCCACTTCTCATTCTATAGACAAAAGAATTGAAAGCAAGGTCTTGAAGAGATATTTGCACATCCATGTTCAATGGGGCACAAATTCACAATAGCCAAGAGGTGGAAGCAACCCAAATGTCCATCTACAGATAAATAAACAAAATGTGGTATATGCATACAATAGATTATTAATATTAGTCAGCCTTAAAGAGAAAAAATATCCTGTCACATGTGATAATATCAATAAGCCTTAAGGACATTCTACCAAGTGAAGTTAGCTAATCACAAAAAGACAAATGCTGTATGACTGCATTTATTTATATGAGGGTCTAAAGTAGTCAAATTCATAAAAACAGATATTAATGAGGTAATAGGAGAATAATAAGAACAATTTTATGCCAATAAATTTGTCAAGTTAGATGAAATGACAAATTTGCTGAAGGACACAAGCTATTGAAGTTTACTCCAAAAAAAATAACCTCAATAGCCTTCTATCTATTATCAACATGGAAACAGTTAAGAATCTTTTCATAATGAAAATACCAGAACCAGATGGAGTCACTGGCAAATTCTGCCAAATATTTAAGGAACAAATATTACCAATTCTACATAAACTCCTCCCCCCAAATTGGAGAGAACACTTCCCAACTCACCCTATGAGG